AAATCTTTAAAATAATGTTACACATTTTAGTGTCGTTGCAATTAATTAGATAAAGCATTTTTGCCAATCAGCTGCGTTTAATTAATTTTATGGAATGTAGTTAAATAAGCCAGCAATAAGTACAATAAATTATTAATACGCATTCACATAAAATATATTTGATAATATAAAATAATAAAATAGCTAATATAATATAATTTATAAAATATATTTAATAATTTTATTAAACACATATACACGTAATTAAAATTGCATCTGATTGACAGATGAAGTTTTTCTACAATTATACATATATTGCATTTTTCATCTAGTAAAGATAAGCGATATTTTTATCCTTTTTATTTTCTAACAGTTATCGATAAGTAGTCATTTGAAATAGTTTGAGACATTTTGCAGTGATTACAGAAATTTTCTGCTGAGTAATCAATCAGCATATCCAGTAAATTTGTTATACGACAAACAAAATTGATTCAAGAATTGATATTAGATGCAATTGGTAATTAGTTTCAAATTCTAAAAATTATTTCTTAATTAATATACATATTAATTATTATCTTTCAGTAATAAATTGATCTGTATTACATTTTTGTAAAGAAATTACAATTTCGTTTTGTTCAATGTATAATCCATATTTTTAATAATATTAAGTAAAAAATTGACCGATAAGATTAAACATACGTAAGTGAAAAATACAATAGTCACCGAAGACGGTTCTTCATGCTTAATAATATTTTATAATAATATTTGTCTAAACATATATTTAATAACTTATTCTGTATTATTTCTAATTTACATTTAATTAGCAACATTATTAAGCAACACTAATCGTATAGTGCTATTATAATATTAGGTGTTGGAATTAATTCGTAGCGTTTTTAATGAAAGAATGTTATTTATTTCACATGAGCATTAAAAAATACATTAATGAAAGTACTTCCCATCACTTGTAAAACGCTACGAATTAATTCCAACACCTAATAAAAAACTGAATCAAAAAGTCCTTTACCATTTTGCAATTTTCGTAATTAGTTAACAAGATATTAATTTCTAAAGGTTGCCGAATAAACGAATGAAATCAATGTATAAGACAATTTTAAGATATGTTTCAGTGTTCTTTGTAAAACATGTTGAAGATGTTTTTTAAAGAGCTCTCAAAGATATCTTAAAAGTTGTCTTATATGTCAATTTTTAACATTTTCAGTGGATAACTAAAAAAAAATATTGCGAAAATTACAAAATGATAGAAGACTTTTCGATTCAGTTTTTTATTAACAATAGCACTATATGATTAGTGGGCGTTATTTTAGAAACACCCGTATAAAATTAAATATAAATTTATTAAATATTAAAAATAGCTTTTTGTAATAAAAACTTTGTTTATCTCCATGCACTGGAAAAAACTGTCGTTAACTTGACTAAATGCGTTTAGTTTCTAATAATTATTAAGTTCAAATATTCATGTACTTAGATTAATAAAATCTTAATTTAAAACATGTTATTTGTTTGAATTAACAAATATTTGGTTGACAGTCCTGCTACATTTAGTTAAATCAGCTATTTTTTTAAAACAGCAACTTTTTTTTCAGTGTATGCTCCCCCCTCCCATGTTTAAAACTTCTTTTTTATTAATTACATTTTTATTATATGCATGTATTAAATATTACATTTGCATCTTATTTAACTTCTAGTGATAAAATGTAAGAAGCAATGACTTTAAAATAATTTATGGATTACCTGGTAGTATTGATAATTATTAATATACCTATACGGAAGAATAATTATTTAATTCATTTCTATGATAGTATATTAGTATGCACAAATGGCTAATTTGAAACTAAATAATTATTGTGAATTTGATTGGGCTACAGTTTTTATTATAAGTTTTGTACAAATATTTAATATTTATACGGATAGAGACAAGGAATGTCTTAATAATATGCGTTCTCATTCCTTTTAATGCCTTCTTCTTACTTCTTCTCATATGTTACAAATAATCATTTAGTGTTTCTGTTTAAAATAAAATTAAATTAAAATGGATTTTACTATCTGTCTGTACTAGTATAGCAGATAGCATAATTCTATTCAATGTAAATCTATATACTTAAAGCTATATACTTTACAATTAAAGAAATTTTATTGCCAAAAATAAAATATTTTAATATTATTATATAAAAAACGTTATCTTATAAGTTAAAGAATTGGAATGTAACTTTTGTGTGTGGGAAAATTTACTCGAAATAAAGTTTAAAGTTTTTAAAGATAATAATTATAAGACTTTAAAATACGTAAAAAATTAAAATGATCTAAAAACTTCAAAGTATTTCAATATTAACTTTAAAGTAGTACGTAGTATAGTCACCAAATGTACGCAGCAATGCTATATTTTCTCTTAAATAAAATCTATATATAGAATAAAAGGAACAAAACTATAAGATTTTCATTCGTATTCTAATAAGATAATTAATTTTAAAACAAGCATTCTTATAAATAAAGAGGACTTGTCTTGAAGTTTAGACAATTTTATAATTTACAATTATATAAGATTATCAATTAAAAAAATCTTAAAATTATTGACATTTACATTTAAGAATTTTTTAATTTCAGTTTCTTTTAGAATTTTCTTAAGTAAGTTTTAATAAGATTGCTTTAAACAAAAGTTTAAAGTGTCAAATTTATCATTCATATTTTTTTATTTTCTCTAAAGTTTTCTTTATAGTAGATCTTAAATATTTTTAAAGTTTTCTAAAGTAAACATTCCGGAGCGGAAAGAAGATATAACAAAATGTCAAAAATTTTCTGACATCATTTTTTCATAATTCTCAACCTTTTTATAGTTTCTTGATATGCTCCTATATACTTATATTCTTCTCTCGCAGAAACGTCATATTCCTTTGCATTAATGTTTCACATCATGCTATAACCATCCCGTTGTAAGATGTAGCAATTAACTTAAAGCTTTTAAGTAACATTGATCCGTTACGACAGTAACGGTCGATATAACTAAACGACAGTATAAATTATCATTATCATTTCGGACTTGTACATTGCAATTGACATATTTTTTAATACTGTTAGTATTACGGTTTAATAGAATATTTTAAATGTAATATCAAATACACTGCTCAAGGATACGTATTTCGATAAAAAATCTTTTCATGCATGAATATATATATATATATTAGGTGTTGGAATTAATTCGTAGCGTCATAAACGCACACTTCTGCAGACAACAAAATTTTGACATATAAATTAGGGATGTAATGAATAATCGGCAACTATTCGATATTCAACTGGTTTTTTACAACCGGCCAAACAGTTCGACCATTTAGCCAGGTA